AAAAAAAAAAAAAAAAAGAAAAGAGAAAGAAAAAAAGGAGGAACGGTTAACCGGCGATTACGAAGGGGATGAAAACCGCTTTTATAATTAGGTATTGAAGACACTCCCCTTTGCGCGGTCAGCAAGGACGCGTAAAAACCGAAGAAAAAGCGATCTCGAAGGAATTTGAAATCTAACCCAGTGATATAGGCTACCACGGTCAGATTGTCCACCGATTCGACGGCACCGATGAAATGTAATTTAAATGAACGATCCGAGGAATCGTCGAATCCGAATGTCACGGGCGACGATCGGCCAAATCCGTGACGAGTTAACGAGAATTCGATCTCTCGTCACAGATGAAAATAGGAAAAGCCCGAAACCTCGTAAATCTTGCCCCGCATTCTTTTATTATTGAATTCGTGAAACTTGCCCTCCCTCTCCCCCCTTATTCCTCGTCGATTGAATCTCGAAATTCGAGAGGCCTGGCTGCAGCGTGGCTCGCGCAATTCTCGTTCTGACCATCGACGTCAGTCGCGAGAGTCCCACGCAGAATTCAATAAATCGAGCGTCTTTCTTCTTGTCCGTTTCAAAATCACTTTGCTTTTGCTTTCTCTCTATTGAATGCCACGGAAACGCACGCGCGTTTGCGAAAAACTTAATTCGTTCCTTCCCTTTCTTTTTCTCTTTTTTTTTTTTTTTTTTCTAAAGATCGAGGAACGAGGAATGTTTGTCTAGGAAAATTACGATAATACGTACGGCTGAGTGGTTTTTTTCTCCGAGAGAATAGGAAATTTATGGTGGTCGCGGTACGTGAGCTCGATCTTGGCGAAAGATTAAAGACAATTCGCGCCTCGAGCGACGCTTTTCTTATTTCGCTCCGGAGAGAGAAAAAAAAAGAAAAAAAGAAAACGCGGTAATTTGTCGTCCGATCCGAGATTTATTGTCGCGTGACGTGTGTACATTGTGTGTCGAGCCGGCCGGGGGGGGGGAAAAAAAACTCAGCCAGACGCGAGGCTTCTTTTATTGTAGCGGAGTTAAACGCGTCGCAGCTTCCTTCCTGACGCTCGAAATACTCCCGAGCGCTCTGTGTGTTTTCCTTTCATAAATTCGAGTCGACTCGGAGGTGAGTTCAACGGGCGCTCTATTAAATCAAGACCTCGATTAATCTCGTTAATCGAAATTTTTCTTCAATTTCTCGATTCCGACGATTGGAAATCAAGATTCCCGCGAATAAATAAGTTTGCTTATTACTGGAGCAAAGGGCAAAGAGACAAATTTCACGGTGATTCGATGTGCAAAAGTGGATTGCTAGAGTTCGACGAGAGTGTGTATCCCGATCGAGATCCAATCGATGTTTCTGTTATCAATCGCATCAATTACTGCCGTCAATTACTCAGCTGTTGATATTGTCGGCAATATATCTCGCAAAGAGAGAGAGAGAGAGAGAGAGAGAGAGAGAGAGAGGAAGCGCGACGGTGTCGAGCGGACTATCAAGGCGTTCAATCGATGCTCGTGGAGTTGCGGAATAGACACGATTACCATGAACAGCGCGAGAACACGTTCCCGGTTGGCTTTTGAACCGCCGATAAACTTTGCGGGCTGATATGCCCGCGGGACGTGTCTCCGAGTTTACAACCGCGGGATCCTGCGAATACCTGCCACCTCGTGATCGTTAACGGACACGTGTACATTCCGCTCGAGTTTACCTTGGTTCCTCCTCCGTAAACTATCCTCCCGTCCGCGTTGTCTTTTTCTCGTTAAACTCCGGCAATAGGTACGCACTAGCCTGTACGCGATAGGTACACGGCTAGTGAAGAAAGTTATCGAGAAATTCCTGCTCTGGCAAGATCGAATCTGTCTTTGTCCGCTTGGAAAACAAGAAACCTCCTTGGTTTCCTTTTTCATCCAGTTTTATCCAGGTCTGTTCTATTGTTTGTCCTCCGTCCCGGTGAACTATCCGCACCGTAACGCGCGTCGTGCCACCTGTGGCTACCCTACGATTCGTCGCCCATCGGGAACCGTTAAACTCATCCGTTTTCATTTACCACCTTCTGTCTCGCGTGTTTGCACGCCGTTTTTTGCCAATCAAGAAACGTAAACCTCTCGAATCTACAGTACCATCCCCTCCTCTTCCCACTATTTTTCGTTTCACGGCAAGTTGCTGTGCAAATTCCACCGCGCGAAGAAGCAATTAGTCGGCGTCCCCGACGGGGGTTTGTTTGTCCTAAATGTTTGCAGACGAGACAGAGCAGCGGGACGGTGGGGAACGGCGAGGGACAAGAAGGAACGACGAGCAGCTGTTCCCAGAGGACTTCGACGGCCACGATAACGATGACGATGACGACCACACCGACAACGCCGACGTCGACGTCGACGATGACAGTCACGTCAATGGCGATGCCATTCGTGCCCGTGGAATCTGAAGCATCGATATCGTCCAGCGCGACAGATCAACGGCAACAGCGTCGTTGGCAATGGCAACAAGCCCCGCAGCCCTGTGCGGCGACCACTTGCCCGATCACGGCCACGTCGTCCTCCACGTATTTGTCGGCCACGCCGTCCTCCGAGGCCAGCAAGCTGTCGACCAACGTCCTCTTTTCCTTGCCCGCGTCGCCAAAGAGATCAGCCCCAGAATCGTCCAGTAAAACGCCAACCATATCGAAATCACAGATGAAAGGTGAGTTCTTTTGCCAATTATCGAACCATCGTCCATCCATGTAATTTCGATATTTTTGGAAAGGGTAAAACAGAGCCGACGCAAATTTTTGCTCCGACTGTGAATTTGTCACTCTTATCGATGATTAATCGGATTGTGAAAATCTTTGATCTGTCGTATTATCTCTGCGTTCAAAGATATATTATGTCGTATTTTTGTACTTGGAAGATCCAAAGTCGATAATTTTATGTTTTCGTATTAGATTTTTGATTAAGAAGTAATCAGGAAGACTAATCGTAGAAACCTCTCACTTGCAACTGAATCTAGTACAAATTTAATGGACAGAAGATGTAAAGATTTTGGATTTATTTTATGACCTGTCCAAAAAAAAAAAAAAGATAATGCCGTGAAGCAGAACTCGACGAATTATGTTGCAGCTTGGTTTAACGTATTCGAAACGAACGCAACAGTGATTTTTTTATTTCGAGCATAAAATACGATACTGTGAAATCTTTAACCACGTTCATACTATAATTCAGAAGGGGTTGTTACGATGCAACGAATTGTGCCTATGGGATATTGTCCGCCCGGTCACTTTGAGAATATTTAGTCGGGCGTGAAATAAACGTAAATAAATCGTGACCCAGGAATAACTTTTAAATCGTGTAATTTATTATTTTAATAAGCGAGCCTGAAGGCACCCGGTTGAAATTCAAGAGGATATAAAATGGCTCCCCGTTTAAAAAGCATCCGCGTGTTTCCAATCGTTTTGCAATTGCAGTTAATCAAAGAAAATTTCCATTCTATCGCACGCGTAGCGTTAATTTTGTTACGCATGGGGGCACAGAGCTCGAGTTCGTGCGGAAATTTATTTCCTTTGTTTATAAACAAAGTGTCAAATGTTATCACAGCCTTTACTCCCGTTGCATATTGATAGTCAATTATTGTCAATTTCAGCAATATTAATTATGACGTTTCGCGCGACTTCTACAATTATTTCGATATTTATCTCCGACGAGAAACAAAATAATTTAATTCTCAGCGCCAGACAGCGAATCTTCGTGTAAATTTTATATTTTTACGAACATGATTAAATTATTCCCGGCATTAAACATCGCAACGGATGCGCCACTTATTTCTGCACCGTTAAATTTCTCACAAAACGCAACAGATATTCGCTGTCCAGTTGTTCATATCTCAACGAACCATCGAACGAAAGAAATTTCAAAAATTGTTGTTGTCGCAGTCGTGCCTTTCCACGCAAATTGGAGGCAGTCGGGCCATTTTATGTTTTCATTTATGGCATCGTGTCCGATCAACTAGTTCGTTAGTACCGTTGAAGCTCGTGGATGTGAGCAGCGCATTCGGTAGTTTCTTTCGTCGTTGGTACACGCTGACAACCGGATTGTCGAAAGGACAACCAGTGGAAAGGCTAAATTTTCTGAATATCAGTTGAACGCCGCTGCAATTGCTTTTTTTGACGTTTACGTCACGCGCAATCAGAAGGGTACCCCAGTGACGTCTGTTCGTTTACAATTGGAGCTGCTGCCACGGTTTTCGACGTTTTTGTTTTTGACAGAAATATTAGCCGCTGTGCTTAAACGCGCACTCTTTTTCAGTGCCGCGGTCTCTGTGTAAAGACCTTTAATTAAAAAAGATTTGAGTGTACGTACATGTACGCACGCAGGCTACCAAGCCGGCCTATTGATTATCCATTGGATATGCCGAGAAATATGCTTTGAACAAAATATGATACATTCGGGGATGCACGTTTATGAAGTATCGGAGTGATTTTGAAGTTTTTTTAATAATACGTGTCTCTTTTCTGGTCCTACTTTTGTAATTAGTGAAAATTCAGAAACTTGTAATAATCTCCCGAGACTCAGAGCTGAGCAAAAATGTATTATTACTTAATTATAGATTCAACTATACATCTATAACGCAACGTAATTTTGATATTTTGGAAGTCACGAGATACGAGAAGATTGAGACGAAAATATATTGCATTTTTCCTGAAACATCGTTTTAGACAACGTCTCTCTATTTATTCTCGACCCAAGAATCTACGAATTTAAAAACGCCAGCGTACGATTCAATTACCGAAGAACTTCTCCCCCGGAAAGAAAGCTATTAAAATTAACGGTCCGTCGCCGAATGTGAAACGCCTTTTCCCTCCCAACTGCAGACAAGTCCTTTCACGGGGGACAAGGTTAAAAAAATTAGTTGACGATTCGTGAAATGGCGAGGTAGCGCGTCGTCGGATGCAAAAAGGACGTGGCAAACGGAATTCGAATCAAAGGAATCTCGTCTACGTAGTTTGTCGAGGAGACGGGACGCTGAGTTATGCCGGTACTTTTTCTGTGAAGTGTCACGCTTGCAAGTCATTGCTGACTTGAGCTCCGTCGCGACCAACTTCCGTTTCGCCCGAATGTTTCAAAGAGATTCTTCATATCGGAGCACTTCATACGTTTCACTCAATTTCGAGGTAAAAAAAGAAAGAAAGAAAAAAAAAAAGAAACAGCCTGGCTGTTCGTTCACTCGGTCAGATCAGATTACCTTCCCCGGTAAGACATCGCTGACTAATGTAGTTTTCACGAAAATCGGAGCCGTGCTGGCGCCGGCGAGCACGGCTCCGATCTACATCGAGAGGAATTACTCGCTCGTTACTTCTTTCTCGGAGACGAACGACGAAAGTTTACTCGTAGTTCGAGAGTGCCATCGAAACGGGAAGATTGCCGCAGCACGTGGAAACTAATGGTTTAATCCTTGACTTAACTGCGTCGTTATTTATATCGGCCATTCGACGAATCTTCTCAAAGGCAACCTCGAAAAGAGAGAGCCCGTCGCGTAAAATATATCCCAATTCACGGAGAGCCATGCCTTGCTTACTTCATCTCTTGCTCTTTACGTGCTTTTTAGTAACTACTTAAATAAACCTTATCTATTTGCTGCTTTAATATTGCATGATCCTGACGTTCTACCCGCTTCTCCGGATATTACGAATATAACGGATATTACATAATGGATTTCGATAGATTAGATTCGATGTTAAACTGTACACAGTTTTTAAACATTTGCTTTTAATATAATCGATATGATTTTACCATCCTTTCGATAATTAATATTTATTAAAGACTTTATTAAAGACCTTATTAAAGAATTTATTCAAAATTCAAGACCTTTGAAAGGATATTTGCGAAATGGTAAAGAGAAAACTTCTCTATCCCGAAATATTTTCTTTCTTTGCTTGTCCTATCTTTCTTTTTCCAATCGGCGAATTTTAAAATCTGCATCAAGCCATGAAAGTGAACACTAGAACTACCAAAATGGTAAAAATGACCAATTCATAATTTTTTGTCAGGTATTTCATGGACCTAATAAAATATATTTCTAAGAATTCAAATAATTTTTCGTAAATAAGTACAAATAATACAAAAAGTTTGTCTATTTTGTTTCATTTCAATGTCTCTGATGGAAAATTTCACGCTTTAATCGTCGGTAGTTCTACTTACAGTAGAAAGATTCAGGTATGGTGTCGACACGGTAAGTCAAAGGGATGCCATCGAATTTGTCGTTCGCACGAAATGGAGCGAAAGAAACCTCACGGGGAAAAAAAAAGAAAAAAATCAGGAAACCACAATTCCGTAACCGGGTTAAGCAGAGTCTATTTGTCGACGTCCCTCTCCGCGCGGTTTTTCTTCGCCGTTACCCATTAGCGCAAAATCGTGGACCGTTCCCTCACCCTTTCTCTTCTCTCTGTCTGTCGCTCGAGTTCGAGCACAATAGCGCGTGGATACGCCGCTGGAGAATGTGCTTATAGGAAAACCATAGCCGCCGGTACGTACAAAATCAATGGGCCGTGAAACGAGGCTATTAAACGGTCGAGTCAAGCACCGATGATCCAAGTCCAACCGAGCTTGTCCCTTCTCGTCGTGCTCGCCGCGGACATCAAACATCGCGGACTGTTATCGACCGAACCGTTTAATCAGCTCCAACGACCGGTCCTTCTAATTCTTTCTCTCTCTCTCTCTCTCTCGCGCGCGCACGTGTACGCACACACATACACGCGCAAAAAGAAAGAAAGAAAGAAAGAAAGAAAGAAAGAAAGAAAAGAAAGGAAGAAATGCACGATCGACGGTTCCATTTTACGATTCCCTCAGGCTCTCGTCTTTGTTACAGTGCCTTGAAGCTCGCCGCTTACCTCGATCGCTTCTCATTGCTTCTGTCATGTCGGTCGGAATTTTAAAAATATGGCGCGTCAAGTCCGGAGGTAATTAAAGTTCGGACTTCGACGCATTAAGGCCGGAAGTGGGCCACCGCTTTGTGCCTCTATGCGGGCACGTTCTCACGAACGTGGCTCGCCACTTCGTCGTCTTCGCGGTCTGAATTTCCCTTTGTACGATACGCCGCTGCCACCGCTGCGTTTATTGTTCCCAGAGAAAAGGATACAGTCTCCGGGAGGCAGTGCATTTCGTTAATTGCGTCGAACTTCCCCGTTGCAGAGTTCAGGGAGGCGTTCAGGCTGTTCGACAAGGACGGGGACGGAAGCATCACGAAGGAGGAGCTCGGCAGGGTGATGCGTTCGCTGGGACAGTTCGCCAGGGCCGAAGAGCTGCACACGATGCTGCAGGAGATTGACATCGACGGTAAGCCAAAGTCCAAAATCCAAAAACATTACCGTTCCATCTGTAAAGGACTCGAGTCCGACCTCCAATCCAAGAAACAGCGTGCTTTTCTATTTTTCCGAGTTGGCGGAACAAGGCAGAGTGTAGTAAATTCGGCGTGCGTGGTAAAAGTGTCCCGAGAACCACGGTCGAACGTGGCGTTAATCGGAAACTTCGCATTAATATTCAACGATATTGCGAAAACGAAACTGGGTGGCGATCGGTTTGAGTCTCGAGCGCGAGCGCGAGCGCTCGTTTGTTAAAATTCGTAACGACGTTTCCGACCAGGTAACTAAGTTCATAGACTAGCAACGCCAGTTCTCGCGCTCAACTTTTGCACGTAAATCGTTTCGCTGTCATTGCCAGCGTGGTGGCTACAATTTTACGAGCCACGATTTAAACACCGATAATTGAACAGACTCGTTCAGTAGATGGTGATAACCTTCGCACGGCAGGTAAATCCAAGCGGCAAGCTTACCATTTCGTTCGCGTAACCACGTTGGCCCAGTTACAACCTTTCTCTCCGACGGCATCCCCTTAATTGCGGGTAATTTTCGAAAAGTGTTCTTACCCCTCCTCCCCGGTCTGACAATGGGCAGGAGGTAGAGCCTCTTTATTAAACTGAATTCGTTTCTCGAAAACCCTCTCCCATCCTTCGCACGCTTTTACCTCTTTTCGTTCGTCCGTATCGACGCTCGTTCGTCGCTCGTTTTTCGCGCGCTGTGCTCGAGATTCTTGGTCATACTTGGCTCGTTCCCATTGTTCTAATGTCTAATCGCGAGATACCGTTGGTGCACGGTATTGCGACCGAAATCTTCACGGCCTCTTCGTTACTGTCCTGGCTCTTTTCGAAAGGGCGGGAGGTGGAAGGATGCTTCGAACGGATAAAGTCACTCGAGTTTTCGATGGAAATTGAATGGTCGTCGTCCTCGTGATTTGTTTCGTCGGGGGAAGTGAAAATTTGAAGAAATGGATGTAAACGTTTAGGTTTCGAGGAGTCGCCGTACTTTTTCGCAACGGTGGGCAGGAAACACGCAAGGGTATCGGGACCTGTTGCTGATTCCTCTTCCTCGGCGAATGGGACAATCTCATTTGTCGCAATTCGAAGCGGCAAACATCGCCGATTCCTTGCTTCAAGTTCGAAAATATTGAAATCAGAGTGATCGGCCAACCCGTGGAAATCATGTAGATTCACAGCGTGGCGTGTGAATCATTTAAAAATTCAATTTCCTCCTTGCATTATCTTTCGTTTCGATTTATTTCGTCGATGATTCCTGCAGTGTTGGAGAGTCCAGCGTTGAAAAAATCCCGAACGAATTTCCAGGCGAACGATTTTCCGAGAAAATTTACAATTTAAAAATACTTTATCGTGCTTGTTCTTTGTCTCGCGAAATTGCTTGTAATCGTTTAAGCAAACGACATTAGTCCATTCGTTGAAATCCGAAAAAAATCGTCGTCGTCAATCCCGCGTTTCAACTGTGTTTTTATGGCGCGTAAAATTTTCTCTCTCTCTGTTATCGCAGCCGTACGCAGCTAGCTGCACGTCGACGAACAGGTTGTTCGTGAAAGGCTTGATCACGCTGACAGAATTTTTATGAATTTGACGAAGTTTGTTATTGGAAAATAACGACACGCGTAAACGGCTAAATTACCGTAATTTAACGGCCTTATGAATATCGAGTCTCGTTGTTTGACTGCTCGACAGATTTCATAATCCAAATCACACGCACACCTTATTTCCCCGGTACGGAACGTATTAGCTTCTGTTTGATCGCAGACGGCACAAGCTCAATCGGAGCTTTACCACTTCAGCCTCTATTTACAGTTTCGTTTACTTGTTTGCCAATGCGATTTGATACGCTGCGATTTTTTAACAGCTTCGATCGTGGCTCGTGTTTGCAGCTCGCATCAATTTAGCCGCCGCGCATCCTCCGAGCAGGATGCACCCCCCCTTCCCGAGAACTAATTGGATCGCGTACGCCGTTTCGTGTTTCTACCGCTGCTCTCATCGCGTTTAACGGACGTTCCCCATTAATATTCCCCGGCGATGTTCCTTCTAATCGATCGGCTCGTGGAATTTCTCCGCGCGAGGACGAGAGCGAAGTAACTCCTCCGTTTGCGGACGTCACTCTCGTCGATTCGACGCCTTCGTTCGCCCGGCTTTTCGCGCGTTAGACCCGGCATCGCCTGCGCCGCTTCGAATTTCGATACTGAAACCACGTAGCCTACCGGTGCTACGAGTAATTACAAGTAGCTACGGCACTGCCGGGCGACACGCGAAACGAGACCAGTGCGCGCGTCTACGTAATCGGGGGCTGGCTTCATCGTGGATGCATCTCGTCTCGTTGAATACGTTTGCCCGTACGTGTGCATCGCATACCATCGAATAAAAAACTAGGCACAGGGGTGGGGAAAAAAGAGACAGGACGGAGGGGGAGGAAAAAATTCCTATGCGCACGGACACATCGACAGACGGGGACAAAACGGGAAGAAAAGCCAGAGGTGGAAAAAAAAAAAAAAAATATCGCGAGATATATCATGGAATCGTTCCGATGCGACATCCATCGCGTCATTTGAATGCACCCACTCCTCTATGAACAGGGGGAGAATCGCTCGTCCTGACTTACAGACTCGGGCCAACTAGACCCATTCGTATGGATGGCTTACGCCACGTCGAACGTCAATCGAAGTCCCCCCCTCGTCACGTTATGGATATTTCGCGTCGCGTGCGCGCAACTCCCGGTTAAGTTAGCTGTTGCACAAACAGACGTTGATTCCGACGTTGACTGAACAACATTCACGATTCAATCGATATCCTCTCACGATGCACAGCTTAATGGATTAATAATTTTCCCGCCGAGAGAAATCCTATTAATGCGGAAGATGTACGCGATTCACGGCTGTCTGACCGCGTCAGATCAGACAATTTCGTCGCTTTCGTTGCTTCCCGTTGCGTTAAGTTTCCGCGTCCTTGATAATTCAAAGCGGAAAGTTTTACATCTCTGTCCTTTTGTTCTTGACGAACTAAAAATTTAACGAACCCGCGCTGAAAGTTTCTCTGAATTTTTCCCCTAATTGAGCCGATCAGTTTCGTGACAGATCGAGTGTCGCTCAAACCAGGCAGCGATCAAACAAGTTGCTGTTGCCCGTGACTCGAAGACTCGCATTGGTCGACCGTTATTCATCGGCGGAACAATTTTGGGGCGAGGAAAGTTGGTGTAACGGGGGCGCAAATTGATTTTCGCGACCTCGCGCCGGTGTGTTGTTGGTTATCGCGCGAACCGTCGTGTTCCAGACTTTCGCTGGATTTGGCGAATGTGAGAAATTGGACCGAGCCTCGGCGGCCACCGCCATAAATCGCCAGTTAAGGAACCGAGTACTTGGTCCCAGAGATTGAAAACAAACGCCCCGAGTACAGATTTCTAGTTTACCTTTTAAACTCGAGTTTACCAGTTTGCCTCGCTGGTATTCGCCAAAGTTCCGCCGCGATGCAGCGTCCAGATTTATCAACATGTTTATGTGTTACCTGTATTATAACTGTTAAGTCCCGCGAAAAGTTTTCAGCCCCGTTGCGCGTTGTTCGTGCGGAAATTCCGCTACCGTCGAGAAACGTAATTTCGTACGTTGAAAAATTGAAAACTGGTCGGAGCTTAGCAATTGCGACGCGGAAGCGCACGTATGCAGAACGATTGAAAGTTCGTCGAAGTTAATTCCGGAGGAAATACTTCAGGCCGCGATCGACTCGTCCCGACGAGGTGTTTGCGTTTCAAATTAAAATCCGCTGTGGACGCCGTGTTCGCGGAACAAGACCTTCGCAGTAACTTCGACGTTTGTGCACATTTTTACAAAAATTGCAATTTGATCGTACGCAATCAGTAACGAGGCGGCGAGCAGCCCTCTCGCGCGCGAAATTAATTTGATTGGCCAAAGCGTTCTCCTTGCGTGAAAATTCTTGAAAATTTCGAACGTGTATAATTGACAGCGGATTTCATTGGAAACGATCGGTGTCCCGGAATTTTCTGCACCGATTTATTACATCGCTGACCTTGTTCGCGCATTTGAATATCGGTGGAAACACGAGTTGTTTCAATAATACGCGAAGTGCCTGTCAGGGAGCGAGTTGCAATTAAAAATGATTCGTTCGATGAGCTTCTCGATCGATGAATTGCGCCACCGATATAAACGTGCAACCTTTCCAATCCAGCGTTAATTTTTTCCTCCGCGATGTTTAAATTTATTTACGCGACTAACGTGCTGCCGATATTCGAAACTCGATTCGATTAAAAAAAAAAAAAAAAAAAAAAAAAAAAAAAAAAGGAAAAAAAAAAAAAAAAAGAAAGAAGAAAAATGGGAAAAATAAATAAATAGAGGAGAGAAAAGATTGAAACATTATATTAAATCGGGAACATGCACCGCGATATTAAAGCGATGCAGTTTCAATTTCATTGATACGAGTCGCATTTCAAACGGAGTCGTAGATAGCGATCCGTGATTCTGTTTTACAAAACGATCGAGTTGGTGAAAACCGCCGAAATTCCAATTGGTACAGACGGGACAGAGCGATTCTGTACGATCGAGCAGACAATGTTGCCTTGTGCGACAATCTCCTGTATATATTTGACTTCAAACGGGTACTCGTAATGTGTTTCCAGCGCGGAGCCGTATTAGATTCCATGATCTTTCCCTGTTCATCTTCGACGGGGGGAAAGTTTGTAAGTCACATCGTTCAAAATATCGATACGACGCGACGATCACTACTACTTATCTAGGGGAAAGTAGAGTAAAATCTAGTATATAATATATTTAGTTTCGTAACAAGAAATCGAAAAACAAAGAAAAAAAAAAATTCGCACAAGGTTACGTCTCTTGATTGTACTTTATGCAGTAAGAAAATGATCAAACTCTTTGAAAAAAATTGTTTCGCTGATGGAAAGATAAAATTGCCTGGAAATATACAAATACAGTTGTGAAATTTTTATTTTTGTTAGTTAAAAACTAGACAATTATTTTTAACAAGAATTTTAACAATAATATAAAGTCTATCTTATAAAAAATTATGTTTCAATTATTAGTTTAGGAACTTTTACCGTGTTTATGAAAAACTTGAGTTATTTTAATATATAAATCTTAATTAATTAATTAATCGAACAAAAATCGGAAGTAAAATACATTTTTGCCGCCCTCTTCAACACTTGTACATATCACATCTGTAACACATAACGCATTGTATCCGGTTTTGTCCCCAAATGCATTAATTCACTAAATATCGAATATTTATACTTCAGTCATGAGATAGAAGAATGAAAAAAGCATGAAAATAGTATGCAAGGACTATAGAATACAAATATTACTTATCTGAAAGAATTCCTGAATGTGAAAACAATAGCTTCACTCACAAAACATTGAAACTCTTCAAGCCGAAATTTTTAACACTGTCTGCGCGGAACACTACGACTGTTGTTTGCTCTAAAATTTGTTTCACATAATATCCATCCGAGTATCATGCCACAGTTCGATTACATATCGAAGCTCTTATTTTAGACAACGGTGTATCCATTTCACCCTACGTTACAATTGCTATTCGCCTTTTGTAAACAAGAAATAAAATATGTTTTATATCGTTGTCAAGGGATGAAGAGGATGCTTTGAAATATCTGATTATCCCAGCCGTGGGATATTTATAGGGACATTCTCCACGGTTTGCGGTCAAAACGAATTGGATGACCGCGGAAGACCGCGCAATAAAAGTCATCTCTTTTATCCGTCCATTCTTCTTTACGCGTCCCACTTGCGGCCGACGGAGGGACGGACACGTTACAACAAATTGCGACTTATTTAGTCTCCGATCTATGTATTTCTTTTTCATTTGCCTGCACGCGTTATTCCATCCCCCTGCTGAACGTGCGGCGAATTGAAATTCACCGTTTCTGCATCTGCGCTGCTGTCGCAAGCTCTGTCAAACGTTCTATCGTTTTTTTTTTTCCTCTTTCGCCTACACCCTGCGATACATTTATTCACGCGCAATTATTCATAGTTTACGCATTGCGGAAAATCCGTGGACAGAAAGAGAAAGAGAGAGAGAGAGAGAGAGAGAGAGAGAGAAAACGGGATCGAGAGCTCTTCTGTTCGTCACTTCAGCGCAAACAAATGAAAATAATTCTTGCTCCCGACGGTATCGCGCGATTTAAAGAGAGATATCGTTCTGAAAGGGATTCTGAAGTTTCAGTTGACAAACAGTCAACGCGGTTTCTTTTTTTCTTTTTTTTTTTCCTTTGCAACGCGGCGGCAATTACGTGGCCCAGTTTACACTCCTCCAGGCGGATAAAAATCACCGAGCGTCTCCACCTGCTAATTTTCCACGAAAAATGTTCGTGTTTGTGTTCGTTCCTGGCCGCGTTCTTTGTCGATGAAGTTGCCAAGTTGCCGACGGTTTCCGCCGCTCGAGGATGCGTCGAGAGATTCCAAAGTGACGGCGTGGTTACTCTCTGGTTGCTCCGACCGCGCATACTTGAAATTTACCGTCCAGAGTCTGGAAACGTAAACCGAGAGTACTTGGCGCGAGACAGTGTCCGTGACAGTGTACGTGCTTCTTTACGTTTACGTTTCACCGTATGTGCGCGTGTAGGTAGCCAGAGTAGCGAAACAAACGGAGCGCCAAAGCGAGCGGTTACACGAGTGCAAAGGGTACACGAGGCTTTCGCGCTACGAGACTATTAGCGTATCTTGACGGGCTGCATCGCGCGCGTTTGCTCCTGTCGCGTCGTTTCACGCGAGAGGGAAAGAGAGAGAGAGAGAGAGAGAGAGAGCTCGCGTTAATTCGTTCTAACAATATACTAATTAAAACTCGAATGTCCGCGTTCGAATAACACGTCTACCAGCGTACGTTCTATCTCGCCAGAACTATCTCTCGCACACGTCGAGAGAGATCGTCGCCTCCCCGTCAAGTTACACGATCAAACGTCGTCGGAACATTTTCAGCATAATTGGAACGTATTTCTCTTCCTCTTCGCTGGTCATCATGAGCGCGTTTCATTGTTCTCCACTTTTGTTCCCGACATTGGCGCACCGTTAGATGTGTCGATAGATTTTTTTCGTTCAATTGGAACAGATCGTCCGGCAAGTGATAAGCGTTCGAAAAGCGTTTCGAGTTGGCGGGAACAAAAGATCCCATTCGATTTCCATTCGAATCTCCGACCGACAAACCAATTTGTCGGCGGCGAAGGGGGGGAAAAAAAAAGAACGAAGGACAAGCGCGTTCGGGTAATTCTTCACGCCCGAGCGTTTAATCGCTCGAACGAACGAACGAACGAACGTTGCTTATCTCTGTGCACGTACGCGATTACACACGCGAGGTGCGCGCAAGTTCACGTCACGAGGCGTGAGGCCAAGGATGTCGAGTCGCGCGATTACGAACGCTTTACGTGGCTTTCGAGAGGCGCTTCGAGATCCGCGGGATTTTCGAAGTGTAATCGCGTCTAAGTCGCGACGCGCTCGCCAGAAATAATATTTCCGACTTTCTGGAAACGTCCGACGGCGAAAAATCCAGCCACGTCAAAGAGCATCGCCGAGAGATCGGAGGACGCGCGACAGGCTCCCCCCTCGTCCCTCCCGTCGAAAAAGACACGTACGAATTTTATAGATTTCGTTTCGCCGTTTATCTCTCAGCTGCCCCTCGCTAGATAGCGTTGCGCCCATATTTTACTCGGCGTCCTTTAAAAATTGATACGCGCGTGAAGTTCAAGGCGATTATCGCGCGTTCGAAAAGTTGTTTCAAATGCAGCTAAACCGCTTGGATAACCGTGGCCGACTGCGAGTCTAATAATTAATTTCCAGAATTCAGTCTCCAATTATTTATGTGCGTGATTAAATGTAAGGAACATAATTTATTTAATAATGGCAAAATGGCATACAAATTTGTAAAGAATATATAATTATATACTCGTACAATTTGGAAAGTTCATTCAAAAGCGCTGCAGCTCGTCCGACTCGTTTAATAACTCGCATAAAATCCAATTGCCTCTGTCTTTATTTCCGAGTGTCATTTAGTCTTCAGGGAGCACCCTTCTTTCTTCTAGGGATTTCGCAGTTGCTAGAAGGTCTGAGGATGAGATTTGTGTCCGTTTTGTGTTTTTTTATTTTAATATGAATATCTTTACAAATTAATTTACAACTAATCGGCAGTCCCTCCTTTCCACGACTCTACCAATCCCTGTTTTTCTCGTTTTTCAAAAAGAAAAACATTCCAACGCCGAGTTTTTCCCCATCACATTCATACTTTCCTTCTTTTGTTTTCTTTTCACTCGGCAAACACTACCGAAAACATTTGATTTTCGATGCATCTGTTTCCTTTCAAAGCTATTTTCTAGACTTGGGCTATCCTTGCAATTAAACGCACTACATGCTACATTTACATTGGAATATTTATCGCGTACCACTCTGATGGAAATATCGTATCACCAAAAAAAAAAAAAAAAAAAAAAAAATCTTATCGCGAACGAAGGATGATCAGTTTGAGAGCGCAAGAAAATTCTCGGTCAATCTTTCATTCGAAACGCGAGACCATAGCAAACTATCGTGCAATCTGCACGCAATAATCATTTGTTTGCTCGAGAGTGATTGCCATGAAGGATTTTCTCCCGCGGGGACGCGGTTATTTATTCAAAGACGGGGGACGCGATCGAAACACGGATTGTTTGCGATGGTTTCTCGTCGCAGTGAATCGTCATATTGTCGTAAATCCTCGACGGATCCTCGTGTATTTTCATCTTATCGCTTTCCCGAACTCTCGCGGGAGCGATCATCGATAGACTCCTCCCCGCTGATTCTTTAACCACTCTCTCTTTGATTTCGCGATTCTGCTTAGCTGTTCCAACATTTCACGCGTTGTTGCACGCCGATCGCGACGAAATGCGCAGGGGGATAGAAAAGAAAAGGGAAAACGGAAGAAAGAAGAGAAACGCAAATAATAGAAAACGCGATTTTCACGGCGAAAATATGCTGGAAAGCAGCTTTCGTCTGAGAACGTGCAGCTTACATCCGAGTCGCGAAGTTGCTTAATCCCCCCGATGTCGCGGCTTACGTCCCCTCGTCTCGCGACGTTTCTTCCTTCTACGGCCGCGGCGCAAGTTACTTCCCCGAGCGTCAAGTTCCGCTCGGTGAAGCGTTTCCGCGCCGGGGATCGTAAAGGGCGGGAACTGCGAGGATTCTCCTCCCTTTCGCGCGCGTGAAGGATTTCATGGGGAGAGAGAGAGAGAATTCCGAGCGCAGCGTGCTTTTCGGATTGAAAAAGTGAAAAATATAAAAATATGCAGCGACGGAAAAGGGGGAGGGGGAGAGGGACAAGGGAAAACTCGGGTAGAATGGCGTTCGGAAATCAAATGGCACTCGTCTTGCTCGGCGATGTCGGAGAAAAAAAAAAGAAAAATCCTCCTAAAAAAAAAAAAAAGAAAAAAAAAAGGAATAATAGAACGATGTTGGTGTATGTGATACGTTTTGTTTTTTGTTTCTGCCGTTTCAGGAGATGGAAATGTCAGTTTCGAAGAGTTCGTGGAAATCGTGAGCAACATAGGTGCAAGCCAAACCGCGCCCACCGATCAGGATCAGGAAGAGCAGGAGCTGAGGGATGCGTTTCGGGTACGTTTCGCCTTTTATCTTCTCCCCTTTGTTCCTTGAACCGCCTCGAGTTTCAACGCCGGGAATTACCAGCACGGAAAACGCGGATGGTACACGATTTCGCCGAACGACCTCGTTCGTTTAACTATTTAATTAACAATCGTACGTGATACATGTATATCCGCCGCATTCTCCGTCCGGGTAATTTGCCACGCGTTGTTTCAAAGCGTTTTGACAGCGTGAATTTTCGCGGGGTTGCGGGACGATGATGATGGAACTCGATGACCCGCGTGTTTATGGCAACGCGTGGCAAAGGAATGGATTTATTAGCGACGATAGACGCACCTTGCGGGTAATTATTGGTACTGCAGTGAAAATTACCGTTAAATATATCTCATGTGATCGTCGTGATTGCTTCCTATGAAAATCTGAATCTCGACGAGTTCAGAAAGTCGAAAGATTTCGAGGATCTGGAAATTGTGTGTCAATGTTCGTGTATGATTGAACGACCAACAGTTCGAATGTTGGAAAATTTTCACGTAAGTAAAGTCTTGCACGTTTGAACGTATGAAATATGTAGTATCAAGCGGAACAATTAAAATTTGTTAAATTTCGCGGCGTTGGATCACGTACGGGGACGAGTAACGGAATCGACCTACGTGTGAATTACTTGACCAACTCAGCGACAAGTTTCGTGCTCGCCCACGTCGAAATTTTGGACGCACGTTCGCTCGAAAATACAAAATATGTATGTATGAAGCGGCGACGATGACGGTAACCTGGTGTTTCTATATATACTTGTGTATATAACTTAATGCCTGTACGTGAGAAGTAGCAACCCGTTAGGAAAAACAAATCTTTGTGAGAACGGAGCCAGTACGCCATGCGAAGAATGCTTTACGTGCGGGGTCGTGCTTCACGCGAAACTCGCGTTTGTTGTTTCTCCGTAAAATGACGTCAATGTGGTCTACTCCGAGAAGAGTAGAACCATAAATCTGGTTAATTTCGTCAAGTTACGAGCTCCTATCTTTCACCGGAGAATCGACGACGAAAAAAAAAAAAGAGAATCTGCGTTTCCTGCTTCTGGACCCGTCGAACCGAATTCACGCGACATCGAGAGAGGAACGTTAGAAAAAAAAAAAGAGAAAAGGCGGCGACGATTGAAACGGTTAAGTCGATCGCGACGTCGAGGACGCGGCTCATTGTCTCCCGCGGAGCGGCGACGCTGTTTGCGTTCAAGCGTATCGTAGCCACGCTTGAATACAAACGTTAATAACAATCGTCAGATAACGAGTAACGAACGACAGATTTCGTCCCATGGTACAAAGCTTTTGCTTTTGCGCAGCGTCTGGCGGAAGCGTTCTACAAAGAAACCACGTCCGTGGCCGTTCCCTTCGCGACCATTCCTGGCCAATTCCAATTAATTCTCGCACGCTCGCCACAAATTTGTCCCGCGCGAACGTGCAGCCGGCTGTACCTTTTGTGTGTATCTGTCGAATCATACCGCGCGTAGGCGGCAGTCATTTTCGGAGTGGCTGATGAGGACCGTTCCGATGCCTCGAATGATTCAGCTCGAAGCCAGAGTAATCTCGTCGAATCGGCTGATACTCCGAATTTCCCGCGAGCTGACCGTCCCAGTGAGTTATTAGAGACTCGTTCCCATTAACCACCGGGGGACGAGTCTAAGAATCTATCGATCGGCTGGCGAATTGAATTATCGAACCATCGAGGCGATCGACTGACAAATGAAACGAGCTGATTTTATTCCGCACCGGCGAGATTTCAAAGGATCGACGAACGGGACCTTTCTTTCGCTAGGGGGCCACGTTCGAGGAAACGAATGCCTTTGGCACTCGCGATGCTTCTCGCGAAACGTGCAACACTTGTCACCACGTGCGTTTTACATCCTTTGAAAGAAGTTGGCGACGTGTTGGCGATTTCAAACTTGTATGCAACGATGCTCGTTAAGTGGGAGCCTTTTATCCGACGGGAGAAACTACGTTCGTCGAAGTCCCCCGCGCCGCTTTATTACCCTGAAACGCTCGTCCCTTTCTTCTCTCGTTCCGCCTCGTCTCGCCGTTTTCTTTCTCCTTTCTCTTTTCTTTTCTTCCATCTTTACTGCAGATTCTTTCCTCGCGCGGCTGAATAAACGCGGTGGATCGTGATCCCGAGTTAAACGAGGAGAACGCGATTGGATATCGTCGTTCGTGGCCGTGGCTTTTAACGAAACGTCTGCGAATTACGGAAGAATGCCAAAGGCAGAGAAAAGGAAATGAAAATATGAGAAATGACGTGATTCTCATCCAGAGAGAGAGAGAGAGAGAGAGAGAGGAAAGGAAAAAAAGAAGGAAATCACAACTTTTCACCGGCGTTCCACGACGAGTTTCTGGTTACTTAATGCTCCCTCATTTTTTGAACTTAGCAAACGTTCGCAATCTCTCCTTCTCACTCTCTCTCTCTTTCTTTCTCTCTTTCTCTCTTTCTCTCTCTGTCTCTCTTTTTCTCGGTCTGTCGGTGGTATAGAAACGGACAGCCTCTATTCTTCTCCACGTCCAGGTTTTAATCGAGCGAATTCGCATTCGCCGGGCTGGAATCGGGCGAATGCATCGAGACGGCGTTAATAACAGAACGAAGACCCGATCGTCGTCCATTTCAAAGTTCTAATTGATAAATTGAAGTCTTCGAAGTGGAGTTCGCCTCGGGGGCTATTGTGCTACAGGAGGAACGGGCTTCAAAGCGTCCGGCTGCGCGGGTAATTTAAAATTCCTTTCGAATTTAAGTTTTCCCATTTGTGCCGCGGCAGCCCGATGAACTGTATTCCCTTCTTCAGCAGCGAGAGACTCTTCCTCCTGTTGTTGATTTCGTAACGGGACGCCCGTCCTTTTCTCGTGCCAGGCGAGACCGTGCGCACGGTACGAACCGCCATCCGGCGAGGTGGAATTTCTTACAGCTGGAACTATCTATCTCTCCCTGCTCACTTCGTGCGCAAGCTTCGTAATAATTTTCGGAGGGACAAGGAAGAATGCCTGGCGAGCTGGCTGGAGTTCAAAAGCGGTCAGGATCAAAGGGGATACCAGCACGGTTTAGAAAGTTCTTAGTTTGGAACGCGCGGCTCGGGGGCGACTCGAATTCGAAACGGGCGACACTCGTTGCAAGATTCAAGCCTGAATCCTTTCGGATCATCGTCGCTCTATCCTCCCGCGGGAGAAGTTGGCCGCGCATCGACCGAATAAAGAACGGTGGGAAGAAAAGGTAGAAGAAAGTTGCGGGTTTGCGCTTGTCCTCGGGCGTGACGTAATCAAAGTCAGATCGAACCGACGCGATGGGATTACGCCACGGGGCCCTTGAAAATCCCCCCGTTTAACGTTTCACATCGTGCACCCGAACGCCGTCCGTTGTTCCTCGATCTTGATGAAGAAAGCGTGTTCTACATTCGAATAGTTCCTTCCGAAAGGAATTTCCAGCATGGTATTTCATTTCCGGGATGCATGTCGGGGAATTTACGAGGGAATCGTTTCTTTACTCCTGATCTTACTGTGGTTCACGAAGGTATTTATGACGGCGCACATATCATGAAAAATATTTATACGCGTGCTATGTATCGCGTGGATCGTGCTCTCGAAAATAATATTTCGAGGTACGAGACACGATTGCCACGATTATATTCGTAGAGACGGACGCGAATCGAAAAGTGTACGTAAAAGTTGGAAAGTATTAAATAATAAATATAAAATACAAAACTTACGTAACATTTAGTAAGAAATTAGTATACAATATAAACGTTCGATACTTACTAAAGTGTCGTCGAATATTGAACCTTGTTAATATTATAATCACCGATAATAATAACGCTACGATAATGTCACGTCATTCTCAGCGTTCGCAACAAACGCTTTTGCTACGTGGCGTCATGTAATTTTCATCGGTTTTTTGGTGAAATTTACTTCATTTTTAAAATTGCTCTAAACGCCATATTACAGTGAAATTAACATATTATAAATATGTTATAATTAACATATTATAAAAATTTTATATATCGCGGAATATTTACAAGACACCACGAATGTTTGAATATTATGCGAGGTGTTTTCTTTTTAGAATTTGTTCTCTTCTTATTTGTCCGATTGTGAAATCTGTTTGTAACTGTTGTAATTCTTCGATAGATTACGAAGCTCTGAACGTAGCTCAAAGCTACGTGTCTCATCTCATAAGCCAATTTATCCATCATAACCGAATATGTTAAAGTTTATGCTGTTTGAGACTTCTGTGTACTTTGTACTGTGAAGTGTTGTTGTGAATCTTCAAGAGTGGTGCAACAAGTCTTTGCATACTTACTTTACAGTTTGCAAAACTTCATCCTATCTACTTGTTAGCAATTTGTTGTACAAACGTTGCATCTCAATGGACCAGTTTTCACGTGTCTTTTCACTTTTTGATATCACAGTTCGTTTGAGTCCACCGAGAGACAAACTACAATATTACTGCAGTTCACACAGTGAAAGTTTACCCAATCGTTCCACAATCATATTTCGTTGATACTGCAAGAGTCCACGTTTAGACAAGTGGTTTCAATCGACTTAATACTCTCGAAATTCGGAAGACAATTCAATATTACTTTCGCTCGAGTGTATAAAAATTCTTTTGAAAAACTTTACTTAAACCTTACAAATTTTTGTTTAAAACTCTACTTGAAGCTTAGAAATTTTTATTTTGCTTAAAATCTCTCTCTCTCTCTCTCGTGAACGCAGCGAATAAAATCAACAGACGATACAAGTGATGAATTGATAACTTTGCGCACCTTGATTTTCAAATGATTTTCAACTGGTCTCGGTACATTTCGCATTAAAACAGGAAGACTTTTGACGTCGCGAGAGTTAATCGAGCAACAACGAAAGTAAACGGAGTCTCGACGTTTGCGAGTCCATTTCAGCCAGAACGACTAGATAACAATGATCGAAATGCGACGTACAAATTTTCTTATCCAGTCGTCGTTTTCATTTCTCGGCCGTGGTGCCGGGACC